TCACATGGTTCCATCTCACTCAGTGGCAGCTCCCCTCATCTTCTACCATCAGTCTGGTGGTGAGCACTAAGCATTCTCTGCCCCATTTTTATGTTAGGTGGCTTCCTAAGCCTCTTCTCACTTAATCTGGAGGTTCTGAAAGGCTAAAAAAACCTCCTCAGGGACACAAAACTAGCAAACAGCACAGAGTTCTGCTGTGTTCCTGATTGCTACCTCTTACCCACCCTGCAATGCCCAGATCCCATCCCCAAGAAGCCTCTAAAGCTCTGCCCCTTCGTTCCATCTCCAGGAGACGAGGTTCGCCGACTCTAACCTGTTCCTTCTCACTAGTCCCAGGCTAGTAAGACTAAAGCCAAGAGAAGGAAGCTGTTCCTAGGCTGGCAGTGGACTTTCTTGGGTGGTTGGAGCCCATTCCTGCTCCTCTGCTAGGGTGGCTCTGGAATGTGCCACCTGCTAGGCTGGTGGACCCTGTCCAGCTGGGCAAGGGAGAGTGTCTTATCACACTCCAGAGGCCCCTGCTACCCACCTGCCTTTGTCAGGAAGAGACTTCGAGAGGGGAGCTGAAAACTGTACTTAGAACAGCATCAAGAGGGAGGAGAGCCAGACCAGGCAGTGGTGGTGCATGCCTTTAATACAGCACTCAGCACTCAGGAGGCAGAGGCAGGCAGATCTCTGTGAGTTCAAGGCCAGCCTAGTCTACAGAGTGAGTTCTAGGACAGGCTCCAAAGCTACAGAGAAACCGTGTCTCAAAAACCATGCATGCACACATGCCCTCAGCGGTTGGATGGACAGAGCTGTCAATCCCACAGACCACATGTCAATCTCCTCTTAACAGAACAGAATTTGCTTGTGAGCAAAACTTCACACACACGCACACACACACACACACACACACACACACACACACACACACCAGAATAACAAGAGAGGAGCTTGCCATGTAGGATAGAGACAGGAAGGATGGGGTACCCCCAAAAGACGAAAGGGGCAAGTAGTCCTGCAGGAATTATGGGTGAGGCTACAGTGTCAAGGGTGACCGCCAGGCTGACTTAAGATCAGCACCTCACACTCCCACACCCATCTTCAGGAGGAAGGAGGTCCCGAGCCCCCTGCACTCTGCTGTCCCCAGGTTTTCCCCTGTGACTCTGAGGTTACATTCTTCCCTAATCTCAAAATGGTCACTGTCAAGGTCAAGGAGGCACACCCAGAAACAGACAGTGACAACTCAGGGTGATTAGGCCTGAAGGAAGCTGAAGAGGCTCTGTTGGGAAAGGAGGCACTGGTGGTGGGGAGGCCCCTGCTGGGGAAGGTTTCCTGGAGAAGAGGCACTTGACCTGTGGTTAGAAAGATGAGTAGGCATCAGGTGGGCGGGAAGAAGAGTGAGCACAAATCTGGGCAAGGTGACCCGAGCTGCTAAGCACCCCCCTGGTTTCAGTGCAATACAGGGCAATCTAGGCATCGTGGGATTAGGAGCCTAGAAGTCACTGCCTGCCCCCCTCCAAATGTCTTCCAAGGGATCAGAGGACAGCAGTTCCCCCAGCTGTGCCTGGTATGTCATACCATGAGCACTGAGCACCAGGCCTAGTCTGGGGACATAGCTCAGCGGTGACCTCTGATGGTTTCAGATGGCATGTCTGTGGCATGAGACCTCCATTCTAGAAGGCCCCTGTGCTCCCAGCACTTTCCCTAAAGCTCCCAAGATATCAGTTGTGGGAGCACTCACTGAGGCAGAGAGCCCCCAGGGCTCTACAGAGAACAAAGCTGAGACTCTAAGGAGAAAGAGACTACCTAGCCAGGGCAGGACTCCAAATCACCTTGGCCCACTGTGCAGCACCAGGCTTCAGAGATGGGCTAAATGGGCTCAGAACAACAGGGTTCCAGACTCCATCCTAGCCAAGCACAGCTGAGTGCCTCCACCGAGACCCAAGAAGCAAGAACCCTGGGTTCAGGCTCCAACTTGGAGCCTGCTGTGGTGTGTAGTCTGGATCTAATCAGAACCAGTTCCTGAATGTGAATTCTTTACTATTCAAACTGGAAGAGTCACAGATCCATGGGGCAACTCATGAAGAATGAATAAGACCAGGGAGCCATGGGGGAGGGGTCCCATGGAAGCAAGATGTGTACAGTCCTGAGTTGCAGGCACTATCTTCCCATCATAGCAAGAAAGGGCTGAATTCTAGGGTCCTGCAACACTTCTCACCACAGGGCCTGCTCTGGGTCCCCAGTAGAGAGGCAGAGGTCATGGTCCAAACTGTGACCATATTGGGGGAGGGGCAGGAAACATCCAGTTTATGATATGGGAGAATCCAGGTTCTCATCACAGGATGTACAGGATGCTGTGAGACAGACGGTCTCCTTGGAATATTCCCAGGTCAGCAGTTCTCCTAGTCTAATCCCAAGAGTGCCTGAATTCCATGCTGTTCCTTCAGTTCACCTGCCAAATGAAGCAGGTGCTGTGTCTGAAATTCTGTTTCCTGTGGCTCCAAAAACCCTTGGCTAAGGTTTCCAGAATCCCAGGAGTTTGTGCTCAGAGCAACACAGTCGTAACTCACAGTCTTAAGGGTCACAGAGACAGTAACAACTTGTATCTTGGGGAGTTGGTCAGGGGAAGCTTCACCAGGAAGCTGGTCTTAATAGATAACCTGGGCTTGTCAAGCAGACAGAGATGGGGAGGGAGGAATCCCAAGCCAAGACTCAGTGGGTGAGGGTACAGGCTGTTGAGGAAGTGCCCGGAGATCCTGTGTGCCTGGCTTGGAGGGTTAGGTGGCATGGAATGTGTGGGGGCCAAGGAATTCACATGAAAGGGCTCAAATGCCAGGCTGAGAGCTTGTTCTCCCACTTAGAAAGGGAAGGCATTTGCAGAGCTGACCCTTACAAAGATATACCACATGGGAATCGGCTAGCACCTGGGAGTGTGGAAGGTGGGTGACCACGGAGAGGACTGTAATGGTACAGGTAGAAAAGCCTATACTCTTGTCCTGGGACTCCGGTGAGCCTCATTTCTTACCCAAGTGCAGGCCTGGGCAAGTCCCTCTTACAAATTGAACTGGAGGCTAGGCACTCTCCAGGAGACTGTGTCCATATAAGCTGGAGGGAGTCCCAGGGCCTAGGCCTCTCTTCTGCAATGACAGTGACACCAAAATGGAGGATCAAGTTGGGCGCAGCAAAGTCTAGGATGCCACTCTCTGCATCAGGGAATCCTGCTACTCATTCTATAGCAAGACTGAAATAGGCATCGGGGTCTGGGTGGCAGGGTAATGGAGGAGCTACTCTCTCTCAAAACCCAACTGAAGGAAGGGCTGGGATGTAGCTCAGTTGGTAGAATGCTTACCTAGACATGCATGAAGCCCTTGCTTTGATTGCCAGCACCAAATAAAACAGGTACTTGTCTACAAGCCCAGCATTCAAGAGGTGGAGGCAGGAGGATTAGAAGTAAAGGTCTTTCAACAGACTGAGTTCAAGGCCAGCCTAGCCTACATAAGACCCTGTCTTAAGGGTGTGTGGGGGACTACTATGTTGGCTCTTCACGAAAGAAGGCCTTTCTCTTCTGAATATCCCCTGCATCTGGTCATCCATTTCCAAAATACTTCCTGGCCCTTATTATGTGCCCCATCTGTGCTGGGTGGCAGGGATAGTGTGAGAAGGCAGAGGTGGCCTGGCTTCATAACACAACTAGCTGACTTTTCTAGAGATTAAGGAGGGTCCTGCAGCCAGGTTCTCCCCATTAGGCTGCACTGGTGGTTTAGGAACCCAAGGGCATCTCAGGGGGTAAGTATGGGTTAGAGAGTGCACAGGCCCAGGGAAGTCACTAAGGGGGAAGAGAGATGCCATGGAGGGTACTTCTTACTCAGCAGGTCAGCAAGATCTTCTGGGCCCTATGAGTAGACTGGGGATAGTGGTGATTATCCCAGAAACATCTGGATAATTAGGCCACAAGAAAGCCCCAAAGAAAGGCTGTTGGAGGCAGTCAGGCATGGTAATACACATCTTTAATCCCAGACTTTGAGAGTTAGGTTACCAGCAGATATCTCTGGGAGCTTGAGGTCAGCCTGGTCCACATAGTGAGTTCCAGGCCAGCCAGGGCAACACAGCAAGAACCCAGTATTCAAACTGCCTCCAGCCTAGAAACAAGTGGCACAGCCTCATCCTGAACTGTGGTCCTGGATGGTGAGGCCTCAGCTGGGGCAGGTAGGCAGGAGTCCCAGGTTTATCTGGCTTTGTGACCTTGGACAAGACATTCTCTATTTTCTCATCTACAAAATAAAGGTAATAATTCCTTTCTCAGCTGGGCAGTGGTGGCGAATGCCTTTAATCCCAGCACTGGGGAGGCAGAGGCAGTTGGATCTCTATGAGTTCAAAGCCAGCCTGGTCTACAGGTCTACAGAATGAGTTCCAGGACAGGCTCCAAAGCAATACAGAGAAACCCTGTCTTGAAAAACAAACAAACAAACAAACAAACAAAAGTACCTTTCTCATGGAGTCTTTAGGAGGATAAAATAAGGAATTTTTGTAAACTGTAACAAATAACAATTCAATATTTGGATAAGTAGCATAAGCACTTGTAAATAAAAGGAAAGAAAGCAAGATTACAGGTGTGAAATTAAAGATCTCCTGGTGTCCCATGAGGCCTTGGTGATGTCCTCACACTTTCAAATGGTTCAAGGGGTAATGGAAAGGCCACAACCACACTCTGCACGCTAGGCAGTCATTTCTGAGTATTGTGCAGTTTGTCAACCTTCTCATCCCCTCAAAACCCAGGAAGATCTGAAGCATGGAGAAAGTAGCAGACCTCTATGCAGGCCTTGCTCCATCCCTCACGCAGGACGACACTGGCACTGGCAGGCCCAGATTAAAGTCTTAACTGTCCTAACATGAAACTTCACCACCACCACCCCTCCCAGAGCCTTCCCTATCTCACCTATCCCCTCCCTCCTCCCGCCGCAGCGGGACACCCAGAGTAACTCTGGGGGGAGAGGAAGGAATTCAAGAATTCTCAGGACTCCCGGGTCTCTCTGTCCACAGACTTACGCCTCAGGGGTACACAGACTCATTCAAGTTCAGCCACTCACACCCCAAGGGTGTGTGCATTCGCCCTCTAACACACGGATTTCCCCAGTATGCCGGTAAACACGCCAGAGTGTCACTCACCAAGATCCACGTTCCAGAGGAGACAAAAGTTCAACAGCACACCGGCAGCCGCTCTCACCGTCCAGTTTTGCTCAGTACGAGGGCTGGGAGCTGGCTGGCAGGACAGAGTCACGTAATGGGCTCTCCAGCCCGACGCTGAGTCGACGGGAGCGCCAGTTCCCAGGCCGCACCCGGCGGCGACCTCTCCCGGCGTCCGTTCCGCTCTAGGGTGCCCCCTCACATACTCCATGTGCTGGTCCCCTCCAGGAGACACAGCCGCGGCTCCCGGTCCCCGAGTCCCAAGCCCAGCCGCGCAGGGTCCCACGTGCCTGAAAGAGCCGCGGTCCCCGCCCCACCCCGCCTGGCTCCGTACCCCATGGCCCGGCGGTAAGCAGAAGGGCGGGGCAGACTCTGGGCAGACGCTGGAGCCGTCCGGGACAGATGCCTCCAGTTTGTCACTGGCTTGGGGATGCGGCCTGGCTGTACCGAGGCGGGGTCAGCGTGTCCGAAACGGGTGTTGAGCAGGGAGGGGCGGGAGGCAACTGTCTGGGCTGGGCAGAGGCCATCTGCCTCGCTCACCGGATCAGAGGGTAGGTTTCCAGAGACGCCTAAGTTTTACAAGGTTTGCTTGGTGCTGGCGTAGTTCCTGTCGCTGCCCACTGATGGACCTTTATGCTAAGCAGCCTCCCCTCTGCTGCCGCCCTAGCCCATCTCAGTTCCAGATGGACCTATTCTGGGCCTGCTCAGGGAAGGGTCTTTACCCCTTTCACCACCTCCACCTGTTTTGGCTCTCACTTCACCTAGCCAGCAGGTCCCTGAAGTCCCTGTTCAGTTTGCTCTCTGATCTTGAACTGCCTCAATTCTTCTCTCTGCCCTACTCTGAAGTTCTTCTGTAGTTAAAAACCCTATTTATGCCTCTGCCCTAGCTTGAGAGCAAAAGGAAAGGACACCAGTCATCTCTCAACTGCTGGCCTGTGAATGGATGGGCGCATGAGGGTCTGCACCCTCCATTTCTGGACCAGGAATCTGACGTGTAAGTTCTAGGCCAGTTTTAGTACTGAGAGACCTTAATCTAGCTCCACTCCCACGCAGGGACTCATTTTCTGTGAAATGGAGCCTGCAATTTTTATGATCCTACTTCCACTGTCCATCCTGGGAGTCTTCAGATGGTCAGATGGATGGCCAAGCCAGGGGGGCTTGCTCTCTGCCCTAGGCTGTGGGCCTTGTTAACTGTACATCAGCTGACCAGAGCCCTGCTTCCAGCTCCAGGAGGGGCCCAGAAAGGGTGCAGGCTGCAGCTTGTCCAGAGTGAGAAGGGTGGACACACAGAGCTATGTGGCTGAGCCTCTCTGCAGCCTCCTGAGGCCTTCACTTAGGAGACAGGAAGGCACCTTGTTTAACCTCTCTGTGAGAGCTGGTGCAGGCAGCTTCCAGAGACTTAGATATCTCTACAGCCACACTTGTGGCTTTAGAGTCCTAGTGTGAGGGAAGTATTTCAGTTATTGAAGCCCCAGCTGATTTGTTTTCCTGGTCTCCCTTTCAGCCACCAGGCCTTCCCTGTTACAGCCACTTCCCTTGGGACCGAGGATTGAGCCAGGCCTCTAGAAGACCCACGGCGTGGCCAGTGGCCAGTCTTGGACTTTGTGCTTGCTCTTGTCCAATTCCTTTACTTCGGGGCCAAAGAAACGACATCCCTGAGGTATATGACATCTGAGCTTTCATGTCAGGTGACCTAGTAATGCCTGAGGGGTAGATGAAAGGTTCAGGAGGACCTCACCGCCTTGTATTCAGACTCAAGTCTTTCCTCACCTTTTCTGTGATTACTTTCTGAGCCGCAGTCTCTCCCTTTCTCTGTTTTTTTCTTTTTTAATTTTTTGTTAGTCTTGTTTTTGATTAGCTAGGATCTCCCTATGTTGGCCAGGCGGGCCTCAAACTCACAGCAGTCCTCCTGTCTCAACCTCTTGGGTGCTGGCATTGTAGGCATGTGTTACTATGACTGGCTCTCGGGCTGCTTTTTTGCACAGTGTCTTGCCTATCACCCCCAGCTTCCAGGTCAGAGGAGTGACGATCCCCTCTCAGAACCTGGGAGACAAGGTTCCCTGACACTCTCCTACATCAGATTTTGTGGATCACCAAACCCAGCAGATTTCCCATGCGCCAGCACTGTTCCCCTTACCATCTTACTCCAACTTGAGCGCCTTAGCTTTCATAGTTTTACTTACTTTATGACTGAAAGAATTAGAACCCATATTGATCCAGCCAGGAAATTGAAGCCCAGTGAGTCACAATAAGTACCATATGGAGGGTAGAATAGTGTGGAGGGTGTCTGCCTGAACCTCGCAGCCAAAGCAGGTTAATGGTAAAGCCCAGAAACTGTAATGTTCCCTGTGAGGTGTGAAGAAGACACATTAGCAGCAGCAGTTCAGGAAGGGACTGGCAAAGCTCCTACCCCGGCTCCCCAGCCCACCTCACATTACAAGGCTTCCTGTCTGTCCAGCTCTGAGCAAGCATTTGCCTCCTGGCAGGCATCCTCATCTTCCCTCTCTAACTTCTCTCATCTCCCCTGAGAAAAGCCTCTGCTCTGAGAATCCACAGTGGTGGTAGTGGGGGTGGTGGGGTGTTGCTGGCCTAGCTTCCAACCTCCAATGCTCTGTCTTTGCTAGAGTGGTGCCTCTGTCTCCCCTCACTGACACTTCCTGCTTCACACTCTTTTGGGGGCTTCCACTGCCTTCAAGGCAGCCCAGCTCTGCAGCCTCCATTCCAGGTTTTTCCCTCTCTGCTTCCTACCTCCACTTAGCCAGGCAATCTAAAGTCCTGAACTCTCACCCTCCTCACCTCCTGCCGGATGCTGGCCACTCCCTCTGCTCCTTGTGTTTCTCTGTTTGGCCTTCTTCCTCTCAACTCCCAAACATTGATTTTCTTTTAGTTTTCTGAGACAGGGTTTTTCTGTGTAGCCCTGGCTGTCCTAGAACTCCATCTGTAGACCAGGCTGGCCTCGAACTCACAAATATCCACCTGCCACTGCCTCCAGAGCGCTGGGATTACAGTCGTGCCTGGCCCAAACATGATCTTCTAAGACCTCCCCCAGATATGGTACCTTTCAGCACACGGTCACTAACCCCTGCCCCTTACCATGGGGTCTCTTTGAAGGTGGATGTGCCTGTCACATGATCAGTCAGTCTCCAGAAGGACTCTATAGCTCATCTTCTTTGTGCTGGCTATCGGGTTAAAGTATCTTGATCCTCACCAGGACTCTGTGAGTCAGGCGTTAGCATTCCCATAGCACATTTAGGGAAACCAAGGCTCATACAGCAAGTATATTGTGGACCTAACCCTGGAGCTGTATGTGCTGAAGAGAGTTCTTAGATCATGGCTGGGCCCTGATGTTGGGGCCTACCCTGGCAGCTCCCCTATGCAGAGCTGGGTAATCCAGCTCGTCTTACTGGCTTTTGAGATGGCTGCGTGAGTCTCAATGATCCTTTCTCCTAACCTTATTCTTTCCCCCCCTCCCTCCTACCTTTGAGACTGTGCTCCTCAAGTTTCCCTGACCAGGTCCAGGGCTTGAAAGGCAAATGAAGCTTGAGAGCTCTGGCTGTTGGCTCACCAAGAGTCAGGCACTCCAGAGAAACAAAGGCCCTTTCCACCTGCCCTAAAGCAAGATCAGATACATAATTTGTAAGGTCCTGTACAAAATTAAAATGTGGACCTGTGTTAAAAAAAAAAAGCTATTAAAATTTTAAGCTGGTGGCAGAAGTATTAAGTACTGGGTCAGACATGGTGACACATACCTTTAATCAGGAGGCAGAAGCAGGTGGAGCTCTGTGAATTCAAGGCCAGCCTGGTTTAGATAGTGAGTTCCAGAGCAGCCAGTGCTGCATTTAATACAGAGACCCTGTCTCAGAATAAACAGGCACTAATGGTACAGCTCTTTCACCTAGGAAGCCAGCCCTGCCCTCAGGCCTTTCTTTTGTCATCTGTCAAATGGGCTGATGGTAGCCATCTAGCCAGGCAAGGTAAGGGAGGAGACATGATTAGGAGGTTCAATGAAGAGTATGAGTCTTCGTGGACCTCACTTTTTACTGTATTATGTATACAGGTGCACATGGAGGCGTGTACACATGTGTATGCTTGCACATGGAGGACTAAGAACACCCCAGGTGTCATCCTCAGGGTTCTCCCACTGACCTGGAGATCACCAATTAGGCTGCATTGGATATCCAGTGAGCCCAACAGATCTTGCCTCACTAGCCCTGAGATCACAAGCATGTGTCACCATGCCCAGCATGTTCACATGGATTCAGGGGATCAAATCCAGGTCGTCATGCTTGCAAAGCAAACACTGTATGAACTGAACTCATGGACATAGGACATTTTGGTGGATAAATTCTTGACAAGAATTTGATTCTTTTTAAAAGTTTATTTTATTTTATGTGTGTGTGTTTGTGTGTTTTGACTCCACATATGTGTGTATACTACATGTATGTCTGGTGGATGTCAGAAGACAGCATCAGGGCCCCTGGGACTTGGTTAGATGGTCGTAAGCTCCCATATGGGTTCTAGGAAGCAAACCTGGGTCTCTTGAAAGAGTATCAGTACCTCTTGATTCTTTTGATTTAAAGAAAAAAGCTTTTATTTTTAGGTGTGTGTGTGTGTGTGTGTGTGTGTGTGTGTGACACATGCAAGTGCATGCACTAAAGTGCAGTGCCTTCAGAGGCCGGAAGAAGGTTTCCGATGCCCTAGAGCTGGTGTTACAGGTGGTTGTGAAACCTGACGGGGATCCTGGGAACCAAACTCAGGTCCTCTGGAAAAGCAGCAAGCATTCACAACCACTGAGCCATCTCTCCAGCCCCAACAATTTTATTCTCCTTTTAAAGCACTCAACCTGTGTTAGAAAAGCAAGTCACTTTATCAGTGTTGTACAGGGACTCAGAGGGAAGCCAAGACCAGAGAGGCGGAGGGGAGACTGGGGAATTGACAGAGAGACTGGCAGAGATGGAGGAGGCTGCTCAAGACAAAGATAGTGATTGTGTAGACACAAAGACAGGACCATAGAGGCCTTGTGGGGGCTGGGCTGAAATCATGATGAAGCATAGTGAAGCTATACACAGTAACCAGGGAGCTGCCAAGAGCTACCTCCTAGTCCTTCCCTAGTTGGGATGGGGTGAAGGGTGGCATGCAGGAGCCAGAAAATGGTCAGTAATGGGAATGAGATCTGGGGCTGGGCCCCTAACACCCTGTTCCAGGCCCCCAGACCCAGTCTTTCAGTAGGGTAGACTGCCCCAGCTCCTCTCTGGCAGTGTGCCCCATGCTACTCACTGCATGCTCTCCTATCTCATTAAGGGCAGTGCCAATCTCATAATCTGGGTTTTGTACTCCCCATCACCCCAAAGCATACAAACATAGTCCCTTAGTGTACCCTTCAAAACCTTGTGTGACTTTTCCTTGATGCCCTTCCCCAGCCACCCACTCCACTCCTCATCGACCTCCCACACCACTGTCACATGAGGCAGCCCACCATTGTCCACACCTCAGTGCTTTTACACACACAGCCTGTGCTTGTGTCTGCTTTTCCTGTCCTGCAGTGTTCTACCCCGGCTGAAATCCTCCAGCAGTCAGCGCTCCTCCATCTCCACAGGTGGGTTTAACCTACCCATTAACACACCCATCCATCCAAACCACAAATGCTGGATTTACCCACTGTCTCCAAGGGCTCCCCCCATGCTGACTGGTGCAGTTAGTTGTTAGTTGTTTGCATCCACAAAGCCCTACATTGGAACTGAATCTTACAGGGTGGGGACTGCACCGGTCTGGCTGTGGAAAGCAAGCGGCAGAGGCAAGAGAACAGGGAGCAGTGATACCTGCTCCAAGCTCCTGCAGACACTTCCTGACTCATTTTGATTCCTGAGTTCCAATGACAAGGGATCCAGAGCAACAGGGTTATTATCCAGCAAGAAGATTAATAGACTCCCAAGGTACCTGGGTGTGGCGGCACACACCTGTAATCCCATCATGGGAAGTAAGAAAATGCAAATTTGAGGCTGGTCTGACTAGAGAGAGAGACCCCTGTCTGAAAATGAACAAAACGGGTTGGAAAGATGGCTCAGATGCTCTTCCAGAGGACCCAAGTTTGGTTGCCAGTACCCACAACCACCTGAAACTCCAGGTCCAGTGGTTCCAACTCTCTTCTGGTCTCCAAGTACATCACGCATGTACATGGTGCACAGACATACATGGCAGCAAAACACTCATACTCATAAAATAAGAAAAATAAAATTTAAACAGCAAACAAAACTTTCCTAAGTTTGTTTGCCAGAACTATTGATTTACCAAGAAACGCCTTGGACTCCGTGATTTCTTCCTCATTACTTTGAAGTAGCTTTCATTAGTTGGTTTTAGTTTTATTTCCTGTTCACTTTCTATGAGTTTGTTGAAGTGAATGCTTATTGCTTATATTCATCTACTTATGTACTTATTTATTGAAACTGGAGTTATTCTGTCGTCCTGATCAACACAGAATTGGTAATGTAGACCAGGCAGGCCTCACACTTGCAGCACTCCAGCTTGTTTCCTGAATGCTAAGGTTAGATGTGTAAGCCACCATGTCTGCCTCCTATTTTATTATCATTCTTTTCAAATATTAAGTGTTTTTCCTTCTAAATTCAGTTTTGCTCTCTCTCTCTCTCTCTCTCACACACACACACACACACACACTCACACACACACACTTTTAATATTATTTTACAACCAGTTAGTGATTGAATTTTAACTTTTAAAATATTTTTATCCATTTATTTGTGTGTGTGTTCATGTTTGCATGTGAGGGTACATGTGTTAGCATACATGTAGGGGCCCAAGGGTGATGGGAGAAGTCATCCTCTGTAGCTCTCCCACCTTATTCTTGAAGCTGTATCTCTCAATCAAACCCAGAGCTTGTGTACTGGTTAATCTCAATAACCTTGCTCTGGGAATCCCTTGTCCACCTTCCATGACTGGGATTGCATATGGATGGGCTCCTATGCCCATGTGGAATTTCCATGGGCTCTGAGGTACTGATCCTCATGCTGGGATGGTAGCCCTTTCAGCACTCAGGCATTTTAATTTACTCTTTAACTCAAATGAATGGAGTGGCCTATACCTACAAGCCCAGCACTTGATAGTCTAAGGCAGGTGATTGGAATGGCTCAGGCCAGCCTGGGCTATGAAATGAGTCTATCTCAACATTTAAACAAACAAATTCAACTCTCAGCCAGGAGTGATGGTGTGTGCCTGTGATCTCAGCACTTGTGTGGGGGAAGCAAGAGGATCAGAAGTTCAAGGCCAGCCTGGCCTACAGAAGGCCCTGTTTCAAAATAAAGACAAACTCTTTTCAGAATGTTAAGGTGTGAAAGACATTGTTATTAGTTTGCTTAAGTGCATTTATTTTTAGGCAACCTGTAAGACATGTTGGGACTTGTTATTGTTGTTGTTGTTGATTTGTTGGTTTGAAGCAGGGTCTTCTGTAGCTCAGTGTAGCTTTAAACTCCATATGTAGCTGAGGTTGACCTTCAACTCTGATCCTCTTGTTTTCTGTCTCCTGAGTGCTGGGATTACAGGTGTGCACTGTCATGTTCATTTGTTTGTTTTTATTTGATTCCTTCTAAAAAACAATGTCTCTGGGCAAGAGAGATGGCTCCATGGTTAAGAGCACTTACTTCCCAGCACCCTCATGGAGACTCACAACTGCCTGTAACTCTAGTTTCAGGGGATCCAACACCCTCTTTGGATTTGCACAGGCCCTGTGGGCATGTTATACACATATACAAATGTAGGCACACAAGCAGGTGCATGCGTGTCCATGCTTGCATGCACACACACACACACACACACACCCATGCTCACTCACAAAATAAATAATAAACAACTTAAACAATTCCTCTATTCTAAATAAATGAGTTCAGATGTCTTAGGCCACACTTAAGTCCTTACATTGCATGGATATGAAAGCAGTAGTAAGTCATGACCTCATGTGATATGACCTGACACAGTTTGGACCTGCCCAAAATGAGGATAGGATGGACAATCAGATGCCAAGACTGGATCCCAGAGTAAATGTATCTTATCTAATTGCTGTTTTTGCAGCAAAGTCAAACAAAGACATAAATAGAAACCCAGGGCTTATCCACAACTGGGAATTAAAAATACATGTGCAAAGCCAGGCATAGTGGAGCACACTTTTAATCCTAGCACTCTGGAGGCAGAGGCAGGCAGATCTCTGTGAGTTCGAGGCTAGCCTGGTATACAGAGTGAGTTCCAGGACAGCCAGAGATGCACAGTGAGACCCTCTCTTGACACAAACAAACAAATAAACAACAAAAACCCTAACAGCTGCAAACACATCCTTTTAACATAGCCTTCTAAAAACCTGCCTTGCCCTAGTAGTCACAGCTGTCCAGTGAGCTGGCCATGCCTGAGCTTAGACACTAACCAGTCAGGATTGGACTCTGTAAGTGTGGACCCCTTTTCGTCAGACGGGTCATGGATGGACGTCTTTGGTGAAAGCTCTTCCTTTGTTAGATACTCCTTGCACTTTGGTGAGACACAGCTCTGTCTGGTCCTTGGTCATAGTCTGGTCACCTAGATGTCTTAAGAAAAGCTTTGCCCCTTTGAATCCAGACTCACTTCTGGACTCAAGAACAAGGCTCTGGTGACAGATCCAAAGTAACTGTTCATTTTCTTAACATTTGTCCCCCCTCCCCCACAGGGTTTCCCTATGTGGTCCTGGCTGTTCTACGTACTCTGCTGTCCAAGCTGATCCTCCTGCCTCCTGAGTGCTGAGATTAAGACCTGTGTCAGCACCACCCGGCTAACAGTTTTCTTTTCTTTTTGTTGTTCTTAAATTTATTTATGTGTGTGTGTGCCTGTGTGAATGTGAGCACATGTGCGTGCAGATGCCCTAGGATTCCAGAAGAAGGCATCAAATCTCCTGGAGCTAGAGTTATATATGGTCATGAGCCATTTGATGTGGGGGCTAGGAATTGAACTCAGGCCCTCTGCAAGAGAAACGCAAAGGGCTAGAAAGATGGCTCAGCACTTAAGAGTGCTTGATGCTTTTCCAGAAGGCGTGGACCCAAGTTCAACACTCAGCACCCACATTGGTGACTATCTCCAGCTCTATGGGATCCGACACCTTCTAGTCTCCATGGAGTGCCCCACACATGTGTCAGACACACACAGACATACCCACCATGGCACATGGAGGTCAGGTGACAGCTTGCAGGGACTGGTTTCTCTCCTCATGTGGGCTCCAGGGATTGTACTCAGGTACTCAGACTTGGTGGCAAGCATCCTTACCTGAGCCTCCTTGCCTACCTGACTCAACCATCACATAATTGAGGCTTCTTTGGCAAAGCTGATCCCCTGCAG